AACGACACTTCCTTCTTGAATTGAACTTGAAAGTGTCAAACGTTGCTAGAAATGTTTGGTAAATGTTGCGGGTTTTTGTTGAATTTTTGAACGGCAACAAGATGAATGTGCTTGAGAGCCATCTGCATTAGCGGTATCGGAAGGAATAAGTCCCTTACAGTCGACCGATACCTCACCATCTGTTCCAGTAGTTATCCATTGTACTCGCTTTGCATCAGATAAACAAACAAATTGAACAGTAGGAGGCATCGTTAACAGTCGTGGGAATCGAGCAAGAGTTTCCCGCCAAAGGTAAACACATGACGCATCCCTGAATTCAGGCATTTGCATTTTATCATGAAGTGACAACTTTTTGTTCCACAGCCGTTCCATTCTGTACACTGCGGTGCGGTGGGTGGCATAAATTGAAATAGTAACGGGCCTCATCAATCTCATCTTTTGGATGAGCCTCTCGACTTCTATTCAGAAAAGAAGTTGCGCTTCAGTTTCGGTTTCGCGTACAGAGCGGAACGCCGACGTACAAATGTTTATCCTCGAGGTGAATGTTCCCTACCCTGGGCCCGATTTGGTCCGGAATTCAATCACTGGATAGTGCGTTCTGCAGCACGCCACATGGAACCACTTCACCTCTGTCCCCCGATGTATTACGACACTTCTTCTATATAATATTATGAGCAAAAGGGTAATACTGCGTTTATCGTGGCCTCTGCAACCGCCCTTATGTCTTATGAAAACGACATTGCTGCAAAGGCAAAAGAATTGCTGCAGCCATCACGATAAGTGAAACATCAGTGTTCACTTTAGCTTGCATTTCGAAAAAGAAAGGGACGAAGCCAACAAGCCAGAAACTCATGCCCACAAAACTGGATTTCTCCAAGATTTTTTTCGAGCAAGCATGTACACACGAAATAAGAAGTTATGGTGGTTCCATGCTGTCATCCACTCATATTTGCTAAGTTTGGAAAACGTGGGATTTAGTTGGAATTTCGAGGTCATGAATAAGTGAGAGATGGTGGGAGAGCAGAATAGCATAAATTTTTCCCCTGTTTCCAAAAGACCAACATGAAGACGCTGCACTCAGCGAAAGTTTCCCCATAGCCGTTTGACCCAGTTTCAAACTCAGTCATCGTGATAGTTTTTTTTTTCAAAAATACGAAGAATAGAATGTTTTCATTCCTTTATAGGATGACGGGATACACCCTGGATCGTTTCCCTGGCTCATTTGTGTTCATAGGATTCGGTAATAAATGGGAACGAGCTCCACGAGCTACATCGGCTCCAAAATGCCTGCCTGGACACCCATTTTTCTTCCCACATACCCCCTGAGATAAACGGCCTCGATATCATATCCTCCGCTTCATGATCAGGTTTGGCCAGAACTGTCAACAAGAACGACCACACTGAGCAAAATACGGTGTCAGACTTTGTTGACTGAATCAGCTCGTGCTCCCTTCGGATCCTGAGGTAAATTGTCATACTTGAAGCTTAGTAATGACTAAGCCCATATGTTTTTTCCAAAAAATGCTCTGAGTTATTGATATATTCCAGAAAATGCTCTGAGTTATTGAAATATCACTATGAATGGCGATTTTTGAACCCACGCATTTTTCACTTTTGAAAAATACCGTGCCATAATGGCAGAAACAAAAGGGCCATCTGCTGACAGAAAATCTCCCCAGCGCATCACATAACAGAGACGTCCTTACTCAGTCCGGGTATCGATTAATGTTTTTCGCAGCAACACTGGAGAACAAATAGATGCAGATTTTCCTTGTATCAATAAAGAGCTGTCATTTTGGAAGCGTTCTTTTTCAAAACTCTGACTCTGAAGTTGGCTCTGAAAAGACCGATTTCGCAGGCTGGAAAGTGTCTAATGATCTCTCTATTATTTTTTATACCGCTAGTTGAAGACTCTTTACCTTGGGATGCGCTACGTGTCCAATCTCTTTGGGGAATCCTGGACTCCAAGTGCATGTTGGCTGTTTGCCTTGATCAGGCCATGAACATTTCGAACACCTCTGCGCACACCTCGTCAAGCGCGGTGTCGCCGCCGAGAAAATGGAAATGGTGGCTGTGCCAACACGAGCTCAATCCTCTGCTTCTTGGTCGGTGGCTGTCTCGCTAAGGCCCACCAACTCCACGAATGCCTGGTGTGGAACTGCATCTTCTCCTTTTTGCCATTTTTACGAATCCTTGCAAATCTCTGAATCCAAAGGTAATGCTCTTTCTGTAACAAGTTGTTGGAATAGCTGTGTTTTTTTTTGAGAGCTGACTGCTGCTAATTGTCACTGTCCCTATCATTCAAAAAGAGTTTTCAAAGTAATTATTGTAGCACTCTTTTGTCTTCTATTACAGGTATGGTAGCTCAATTTGAGTCGGCCGTCGACTTGATCACACAGAAACTACAACCGCTTACTGATCAAATGTACGATAAAGACAGATTCGTGGAGAAAATACTGTCTGTAGCTGAAGAAAAGACGGCTATTAAGAGAGAGAAGGTTGGTGGCATAAGAATTACATCTGCATAAATAAGTAATTCCGTAAATCAACAAGTTATGGATAGCTGGTATTCGAGCGTTTCTCCCAGAACTTTCCCTCGAGTTTGTCGTTTGCTCAGATTTACCTTGCCTTTTTTCGACTCCGGTCGAGTAGAAACTAGAACTAGAAAACTAGGATGAACTTATTTTCCATACACAAGTGAATTCTTGAAATCGCATGAAGGCTGGACCCTTTGGAAGCAAAACATTCGATAAATTGCCTCTCGCTAGACAATCCATCTCAAGGATACGCCATGCATTCAAAAGTGCGGCTGTATTCGAATGCGCAATCGGCCCGTATAATGATATAAGGGAAATATGATTGAAAAATTTGTGTTTTTGTCTTTCGAACAGATGTACTGCCCCTAAGCAACCCATGAAGGCTGCGTTAGTGTTTAAAATGTCCGTACCTTCAATGTTCGGATTTTGAGTGCTGTAACGGCGTCCCCACTCTTTTAGCCATACTACTATGGACAACATTCTGGTCTCGTACGGGACTCAAACCGTACTTGTGCTATCCGGGCACTCTTAATACTCTCAATACTTATTGGTTTATACCATTATATGCTCATGATATTAAATTTAAGCTGGTCTACGGAACGATTCTTTTTCTCTCCATCTACGTAATCATAAGCGCTCTGGCACAGATCATATCCAATGTCGTTGGTTTCCTCTACCCAGCTTGGCGATCGATCAAGGTAACTCTCTTATTTACTTGTTTATTTAAGGTCATTCTGCTCTGATTTTCTATAGCAATGCTCTTTTTTATTGAGAATTGTCTGGGAATAGCTATTTGAGGAGGTTTTCTTTCGAATTATCGTGCCACTACGATTTCCAGGCCGTTCGCTCCTCCGTCAAAGAGGACGACACCCAATGGTTGATCTATTGGATTGTATTTGCTACATTTTCTATCATAGATTTCTCCACGTTCTCGACAATTCCCTTCTACTGGTTGTTCAAGGTGAGATCTCAAGTTCATTCACCAGTCGATTATCGATTTCTGATCGATTTCCATTTCAGATAGCATTTCTCATGTATTTATATCTACCTATGTTCAATGGCGCCACTGTTATTTACAAAAATTTCATTGATCCAGCGTGCACAGTAATCGAGTCCTATTTTCGTCCAAATGAACCAAAGAAAACGAACTGAGCATTTTTAGGGTTACTTCTTCTGTTTCAGGTCGAATTCTGTGATATTTCTTTTTTCTTTTACAATTAGACCTGTATGGAAAAAACAAATTATTTCCCGAGCTCATTCCCTTTGTCTATCCGTTGTGAAATCAAGCTAGTTACTTAAGAAAAATTTTCTGAATGAAGTTTTTCCTAGAGTGAATTAGGATCGCCTCTTTCTGCATTCTGAAAACCCACTCTTCTTCTTACTTCTGAGCATGTGTGCAATTCATAGTTATTGATTGAAATTTATAAAATTATTTTGACTTGATGTTCTTCTTGAGTGCTGTTAGTTCGCCGTAGTAAGCGATGCTGAAGTCTCACAAGGATGACGATTTGTGGGCAAAACTTCAGCCGCGTGGAATCAAACTCGCACTAGCGCTATTCTGGCGCTACGCTTTATATCCCTAATAAAATACTTACGAAAATTCCTCATAATATTATAATAAAACTGTTTTTTCTTCGTATTTGCTAAGTTGGTGTAATAGACTGTCAGAGAAGTCTGTGAACCCACTTTTGGTTGGTAGGTTTCTTTTCTGAATGTTCACATACATACAAGGTGTTCAACGACGTTTCCTCTGCAGACTTGGCGATTATGTTATGTTATGTTTATTATTTACGTATATATGCACGGGCGGAGGTGGTGTAGTGGCAAGTGGCGCACTATATCACACGCACGTTCAGGGGTTCGAATCCCGGATCGATGCCCGCCTAGGCCAANAAGTCATTGTATAGGCCACACACGCACTCATTACGCCACTACGATTCTGAATGGAAGTCGAGTGTGGGGGCGCATCCCTCAGACGGGATTGATTAACGCCAAAAACTTTATCCTTTATTTATCCACTCCTACGTGTGTACCACCACTGGTGCATAAGTAAACAAAGAAATAAAATACCACCGTCACGGAAAAATATTTTACCTAGTAACAAATCGAGAAGGAGAAATATTTCACTCCCGTGGCGACCACCTGGTGAGCTACCAATATCTTTTGGAAACAGAAAAATAAAGTCGAGAGTCGAAGCTGTGTCCAGGGATCCTCAGGGAAATGTTTTCGTTACCCTGGGGGAAGTAAATCATTCTTAGGCGAGAGCTTGCACTGGATCTATTCGATACCTTCTCGATTTATTCATGAAGAATTGTGCGTTTTCACATTTATTCTTTCTATTCTCCCCGTCCATCTCAACTTTTCTGTCCATAATTTTTCCTAAGTGTGGTAGGGATCCAACACCACCAAAACATGGTTGGGTTGGTATGTCGACTTCATTCTAATTCACATTTCAGTTCTGGATGTGAAGAGAACTAACAAGCCTGGATGAGAACTTTCCTTGCCAGTTCGGAATGTAATTTACTGGTAAACAAGTGATTCGAGTGGTCCTTAGCCGTCCCTACTAAACTGTCGACAGGGTAGAAATCGGAAGTGATGGGAAGATCGTTCTCTTTTCAGGGCTCTTTAATCCAGAATTTTGAATATCTACATGCCATGGAGGAATTGTTAGGATCAGACAGGTGAATGGTGCTATTTGGGTTTGCGGGTTCATTAGAGAGAGCAGAGTGAAGAGAAAGTCGAGTTCTTTTTTTTCGTCGCTCCCTAAACTGGGGTTAGTGTTTGGATGAAATTGTTCGGATTGATTTTTCTCGTCATTGTCATTTTTCCGCAGCTGAGCAATCATCATGTGAAAAACGTATGCAAAAACTTGCCGTCATCGTCGATGATCGTCACAACCTGCAAAGGACGTGACATATTTTGTGTAAAGACGACCTTACCTCAAGACGCCACAGAGGACTTGTGGACGAGAACGGCTTTCGATAAATGTGTGACAATAGGTCCGCATATAACTACGCAGCTACATACAGTAGCGCTCAAAAGTCTTCGGTGAAATGCTTTAACGCTTTTTCGTTCATAACTTTTCTCGTGGTAGACCAAATCGCGTAAAATTTGGATAAGTTTAACTAGAGCATATTTCACCTAACCCAACACTATTTGACTGCGAAGCTGCAATATCCACAGGTAGAGCAAGGTGTTTGTTGCGGTAGCAGATTTTGCTAAATCTAAAGTTGTTGACGTCTGCTGTTACTCAAAACTTGGGTGCGTTTTTCTAATNTACTATGTTCGGCATTAGCGCTCGTACACTTTGGACATGACGAAAAGGGTTGATTTTGATTTCAAGCTCTTTGAGATATCAGAAACATGACCAGATAGCAGATTAATAGTGGTAAATATAGAAAACTGGTGGTAAGGAAGATCGTTTTGGCTATCTTCAGGAATAGGCAAATTCTCAAGTGAAGGTTAGGATTGTTTCGCAGAATTTCCGCCTTCTAGGGACATATGTACAGTAGCGCTCAAAAGTCTTCGGTGAAATGGTTCTTGAGCCGTACTTTTCAATACATTACAATACACCCACGCTCCAAATATAGAAATTTTGCAAAATTAGATCCAGTAGGAGAGGAGTTACGACTGAAAAGTACGGCTCAAGAACCATTTCACCTGAAGATAGCCAAAACGAGTCTCAAGTGAAGGTGAGGATCCTTACCACCAGTTTTCTATCGCACTGCGCTGTGTGCGATCAATTCACATGGAATTGTCAAACGGAAGTCATCACAAGATCATTCCGTGGTCACTTCCGGACTTGGCACACCGATCTTGTTTGACCCCTACCTTTCAGATCCGCTTGGGTTTCTTCACTTGTAGATTCCAAACCAGAAGTAGAAGGTGCTAGGAGGATCTAACGTACTTAATTTTCCAGTAATTCTAAAATGAAAAGGCTCATGTATCTATTCTTCATGCGATCCACAAATACCCGTCTGCTGGTCAATTTGTCGGTTTGTCTATTTGTATGTAACCATCTTATATGGCGCCTTCTGGAAATCGAACAGGAACAGCTCAGTCTGGTCATGAGAATACTAACAAAGCAGCATGGCTTCCTGGAGGGTATGGGATGCACTCCTTCCATACCTTCCATGAAGAATCACAATGACGGATGAATGTCGGTAAGCTGATGTACAAGGCACCGCTGTCATATGGGATTGGTAACAATCAAGTGACCTTAAAGAGATGAATGTCCTAACCAGTCTGAGCGGCTATCGATCACTTTCGATCCTCGTACCGAAAATCTGGTAAGGTAGCGATTTGGCACTGCCCTAGCCCCTACTTTCCGAACTGGTTGAGTAATTATCTTGGTAGTACGGTTGCAATCGCTCAATGGGATGTCTAGATAATCGCTTGGGAGGGGAGTACCACCTGCTCTCGTTCTGAATATGGTATGCATGGAAGGAGAGCTTCATGAACTTCCCAAACACGCCTCAACACTTCAGAGTGACTCACGAGTCTTCCTTGTTCAGGAGACAGTAACTTATTTTCGTATGAAGTTTCGGACCCTTCCTGGCATTGTAGGGACGCTGTTGTTTTGATGTTTAACAACTGTGATCCTGCTGGGTAGCTGCTGTAATTGAGCATCTATTATTTTCGAAAATCACATCAGTGTTCGACCTACTTTGATTGACATTGATTGATCTATTGACCATTCAAAGGCCGTTCCCGTCCAATGTGTGTCCAATGCGCGTATGGGTGCTATGGCTTCCCAGTTATACTCGCGAGGCCATTCCTCTGTTCCAGTCCTCTACTGAGAGGCGTGAAAAACGAAAGGAAAACAAGTAGATCTGTATGCTTTCCTTGTTTCAACCCTTTCTTAAACCCCAATTTTGGTCATACATTTTCATTTGTAGACTTTCTTTTTGTTTTTAACATCATTGTTGTTTTGGTTTGCCGAGATACTGTATAAAACCTGGCGAAGTGAGCTGTTTTTAGTGGGCAGAATAAAAATAAAGTATGAATCTTTGAATAGAGCCAGAGGTCCATCTGCTTAGTCAATCTCTCAGTGGCTTCACCAGAGTAGTAGAGCTTGACTGACGGACTCTGTCCACTCATAGATGAGTAGAGGGCTTTATATCCGCATTGCCACGATTGTTTGAACGTGCACGCCAAATGTTTGATAGTTGTCTCGCTGTATCCAAGTACGTTAACAGCAATCACCCATTAGGGGGGGGGGGGG